ATAAGATCAAAGAGGATCCTAAGAAAGTTTTCCAATGGTTCTGGCTGGAGGAAAAGAACAACAGCCATTGTCAAAATCAACCTAAAATGACATCCTCCCCCACTCCATCTGCACTGCAGAACAAAAGAATTTATCTTCAGTGTAGTGCACTAGTAGGAAACTCATTGCAGTCGAGTGAGGGGAATGGAGATCAACACCAAAACTGTGCCCATATCTATCTCCCTAAAAGCTTTTACATTTGGCAGAGGGGTAAGAATACTTGGGAAGAACACGCCTCAAAACCCAGTTCAAAATGTTTGCCTAAAACTGAGGTTTAAAAAGAACATCAGAGAATGCCACCTTCACCCGCCTCCTCCTCACCAGGCTAACAGACCTAAACTAAATATTAAGCTGGAAGAATGTCAAGATACAGACCGTGGGGAGCAAAACAGAAGGAAGATACAAAGCCAAGAGGAGAGAAAAACAAGGTATCACTAGAGAATTTTGAAATATCTGGTACCCATAGCAACAACAAAATCCTACTCTGATAACCATAGCAACAAATTCCAACTCTGGCAACCATAGCAACCATAGCAACTAAGCAAATTTCAAGCCTGTTTTAACTCCTGACTAGATCAACACAAACATCCACACTAAAGACCCAGAAGAAGAAAAAATATGTTACTTTCTTTCTTTCTTTCTTTCTTTCTTTCTTTCTTTCTTTCTTTCTTTCTTTCTTTTATGGTGACATAGGTTAATGAAATCAGTAAATTTCAGGTGTACAATTTAAGGCATATATGTGTGTGTGTGTGTACATATATATAGAGAGATAGATCTATATATAGAGATATATAGATATATATCACCTCACAGATAAAAATGTTAAAGTCTAAAAATTTTATCTCAATATATACTATTCTATACATGTTTATCTTTCGACAAAAATAAATATGTGGCATAACAAAAGGCATGAAAAAGCACAATTTGAAGAGAAAAATCATTTGAAGCATACTCCGATATGACATGGCTGTTAGAGCTATCAGAAAAGGAATGTAAAACAACTAATGACTAACATGTTTAAGCAGTGGTTCTCAAAGGGTAATTTTGCCCACAGGGAACATTTGGCAATGTCTGGAGGTATTTATCATGGGCATAAGATGTGCTACTGTGATCTAGAGGGCAGAGGAAAGGGATGATGCTAAAAATCCGACAATGCATAAAACAGTACCTTACAACAGAATTATCTGGCTGAGAATGTATATTAATTATGCTCAGGTTGGGAAACCTTGGAAACCCTGTGTTAGAAGTTCTATTGGAAAAAGTAGAAATCATGCAAGATTGTATTAGCACTTTCAGCAGAAGGAAAGAACACATATGAAAGAATAAAAAAATGATGCTAGAAATTAAAAAAAATCACAAAAACAGAAATAAGATTGTCTTCAATGGGCTCATTAGAAGACTCAGTACAGTTGATGAAAAAAATCACTAGTCTTGACTATGAGTCAGTAGAAATTATCCAGACTGAAATATTAAGAGGAAAAAGAGTGGGAAAATAGTACAGAACATGCAAGCACTGTGGTGTAATACACATGCCGTTGGAATCCTATAAGTAGAAAAGAACAAAGAAGAAGAGATATTTGAAGGAATAATGGCTGAGAATTTTCCAAAATTACTAACAAACACTACAGACTTGAGAATTTCAGAGAACATCGGGCAGGATAAATACAAAATAAAACAAAAACATATATATACACACACAGGCATATCATATTCACGCTTCCAAAAAAGTAGCAGCAAGGAGAAAATTGTGCAGGCAGCTAGGGGTGGGGGCACATTGCCTACAGAAGAAGAAGGATTAGAATTGTAGCAGACTTCTCTTCGGGAACCATGCAAGCAAGAATATGTCCTTTAAGTGTTGAAAGAAAAAAAACTATCAACCTAGTATTCTATACCAAGTGAAAGTACCCTTCAAAAGTCAACCGATGTGTCCTAATTAACCATTATAGAACACCTTCCCAACAACAGCAGAATACACATCTTCTCAAGTATGCATAAAACATTCACCAAAACAGTCCATATCCTGGGCCGTAAAACAAATCTTAACACATTTAAAAGAATAGAAATTCTAAAAAACATATTCTCTAGCAAAAATACAATTAAACTAGGGTAGATAATATGAACACATCTGGAAAACCTCCACATGTGTGAAAGAGGAAGTCTCCAGAGAATTTATATGTAGCATCTAAGAAACAAAATAAATGAACAAACAAAACAGAGACAAACTCATAGATACAGAGAACAAACTGATGGCTGCCGGATGGGAGGGAGTTTGGAGGGCTGGGTGGAAAAGGGGAAGGGATTAAGAAGTACAGATTGGTAGTTAAAACATAGTCACGGGGAAGTAAAGTGCAGCATTAGGAAATACTGTCAATAATACTGTGATAGCTATGTATAATGCCAGGTGGGTACTAGACTAATTGGGGGGGGGTCACTTTGTATGTTATATAAATGTCTAACCACTCTTTTGTACACCTGAAACTAATATTAAACAATATGTAACATCAACAGTAATTGAAAAAAATTTTGTGTTGGGAAAACTAGAAAGCCACACGCAAAAGAATGAAACTAGACTGGTGACACCATTCACAAAAAATAACTCAAAATGGACTTGCATGTAAGACCTGAAACAAAATACATAGAAGAGAACGCAGGCACTAAACTTATGGACCTCGGTGTCAGCGTGTGTTTTGTGAACTTGACCCCGAAAAGAAGAGGTGGAAAAGCAAAATAAACAAACCACAGCAACAACAACAACAACAAATTGGACTACTTCAAACTAAAAGCTTCTGCACAGAAAAGAAGCCATTGATAAAACAAAAAGGTGACCAAAATAAATGGGAGAAGATATTTTCAGATGATACCTCTGATATGGGGCTAACATCCAAATGTAAATTGTAAAGCCATCATGGAAAATTTGTGGACGTTCGGCAAAAAAAAATAAAAATAAAAAAAGAAAAAGAAAGAAGACGCAAATGATCCAGCAATCCCACCTCTAGGTATACGTTCAAAGGATAGGAAATTTGTATCTCAAAGAGATACCCAACTCCTATTCTCACTGCAGCATTATTCACAGTCTTCAGTATATGGAAACAACCTAGTGTCCATCAATGGATGGATGGATAAAGAAATGGGATGTTATATGGGTAGATGGATGGATAGATGGATGGATGGATGGATGGATGGATGGATGGATGGATGGATAGATGGATAGATGATTGATAGATAGAGATATAGATAGATAGATATAGATAGCTAGATAGATGATGGATATTTTTCAACCATGAAAACAAGGAAGCCCTGCTGTTTGCAAAAACACGGATATACCTGTAGAACATCATGCTGAGTGAAATAAGCCAGACACAGCAAGACCAATATTGGATCTCGCCTACACGTGAAACCCAAAAGAAGTTGAACTCATAGAAGCAGACAGTAGAAATGTAGTCGTCATGGACTGGATGTTGGTGAAAGGGCACAATGTTAACGTTTTAAGATGATAAGTTATGGGGATCTGACATCACACGACTTGATGAGTACAGTTAATAATACTGTATTATATACCCAATAGTTGCTAAGATAGTACATCTTAAGTTTTTTTTCATCACAAAAAGCATGGTAACTATGATGAGATATCACCTCGCGCCTATAAGAATGGCAATCATCAAGAAAACAGATCACCGTTGGCGAGGCTGTGGAGAAAAGGGAACCCTCGTGCACTCTCGGTGGGAATGTAAATTAGTGCAGCCACTACGGAAAACAGTATGGAGGTTCCTCAAAAAATTAAGAATAGAACTACCATGTGGCCCAGCATTTCCACTTCTGGGCATATATCCAAAGGAAATGAAAACGGGTTACCAAAGAGACATACACACACCCGTGTTTATTGCGGCATTAGTCACAGTAGCCAAGATGTAGAAACATCAGTACCTGTGAAGGAATGAATGGATAAAGAAGCCGTGCTGTGTGTATAAATATATATACATAGATTTGGTATATGTGTGTGTGTACTACTTAGTCATGAGAAAGAAGGAAGCAACATGGATGAGCACATTATGCTAAGCGAGATAAGTTAGAGCAAGACGAATACTGTATGATCTCTCTTACATGTGGAATCTAAAAAAACACTAAAATATTAAAAGCAGAGCAAAACGTTGGTCACGAGGAGCTAAGGGGTGAGGGAATGAGAGAGATGTTGTTTAAGGGTGCATACTTACAACTAATAGATAAATAAGGCCCGGAGATCTAATACACAGTAGGTCGATTATAGACAACAGAACTGTATTATAAACGTTAAACTTGCTCAGACAGTAGATCTTAATTGTTCCCAACACTAGAGGACATTAAGTTATGTGATGTAATAGAGGTGTTAACCAACACTCCGATGGCAATCATGTTACAGATAGAGCAAATCAACATGTTGTACGTCTTAAACTTACAAAACGTTGCACGTCAAGTACAACATATGCGAGGTGAGGGATATATGAATTAGCTTGATTGTGGTAATCATTTCACATATACATCGTATATGTAAAGCAAATCATGTTATACACCTTAAATATATACAACTTTTATTTGTCAGTTAGATCTCGATAAAGCTGGAAAAACATAATGTTTGAGTATCTGTGTCAGAACCTTAGGGCTCAATAATTGGGCTATTAAAATAAACACTGCAACCGAAATGACTCTGCATTAATTATACCGTTAATTTAGTAATACAACCATGAGATTAAGTTCATCTGAAAAGAAACAGCAAAGCTCTTCTCCATTCAGGAAATGAACCGCACATATAACTGCGGATAAAGAACAGAGAGCAACGTTGTTGAAACCCTTTGCTCCCACACTGCAGTCGTACAGACTATGAATCAGCCATGGCTCTCAGCAAAACCACACGCTTCTTCATGATGTAGACATTTGGAAATCATTAAACAATGAGTATCAAATTCATAAATGTCGAAAGCTTGCTGTACTTGTATTATTGCACTTATGTCATTGAACGCCTATTGCTGCAATGAGAACATGACTTTCTTGGGGACAGAGCCCCTGTTTTGTCATTATTTTTATACTAAACTTGACCTAACACAAAGCAACTACTTGAGAAACATTTGTTCAATGAATTCGCCTCCTAATCAGTGTGTTTCAAGGCCGTCATCATCTCTGAAATGCTGCCAGTTCTTTTACAAAAATACATCTCTGATGATGTCATTCCATTGTCCCCAAACCTTTAATGGCTCTTCATAATCTGCTTTACGAAATTATGTCCACGCATCGTGTGTGGGCTTCCTGTAAGGGACTTCGCATGGTGTTCTCAGCCTATATTCCCTGTCTCACAGTCTCCTCAAGCTATACTAGCTGTTTCTCGAACACTTTGGGGCGTTACTACTCTGTGCCCTTGCAAATGTTCCCCTCAGTCTGAAAAGACCTCCGCTCTCCTGGGCCTGGCAAACTCTTTTTCATTATTAACGCTCAGCTTACATGGCACCCCTTTCGTAGCTTTCGATGTGTCCCGCATTTGTTTTTCTGTGCTAATACGTGTGCTCATTCTGAAAATGGACGAAGCTCAGGCAGGGGGAAGCGGGGAAGAGAAGGGAACGCCCTGCGCGGGGACTTCAGCCAAGCAGCTGCTGCAGCGCTACGTGGTGAGCGTATTATTCCAGCAGCAGTGGGAAGATGGGGTCGGATGGCTTTTAAGTCAGGAGATGCTCCGGTTCACATCGTGCACGCTGCGTGCATGTGTGCTCATGGGCGGCGGGGCCGGGGGGTGGGGGGACAAAGAGAAAGGGCCAGGAGCGGGGACCGGAGAGGCGACAAGCGCGGACGCAGCGCAGGCAGAGCGCGTGGGCGGGCCCGCGTCCCT